TGAGAATTTGTATTTTTTTATTGCCAATGTGTTACCAGCTCCAACATGGAGTCCTGCACTCCCTGTCTTTGTATACCTATCTGAAATGAATAAATTTAAGATTTGAAAAAAAAGAAGTTACATGTCCATGGTGGTGTACGTGTGGTCCTGTGCATAGAGCTCAAGTCACGAATCAGTTGAAGTTAAGCTCCGTTGGGAGCGGAGACTCCTTGGATGGGTGACCGTGTTTGGGAGCTTGACTCCTGAGAGTTTCTGCCCGACAACGAATCTCATGTGATACACGTGGTCTCACCTTAGGCAAGTGAGTTTTGTCAAATTTGCCCCTGTTCACCGTATAACCTTCAGGCGCTTTCAGCATGCTAAAGTGTGTGGAAACAGGCGCTATATAAATGGCCATTATTATTATGTTCTACAGATTATAAAACTGTATGCAGCAGAGAGGGTTCGGGTTATCATGGCACAGTCAAGCTGGTAAGGCTCATCATCAGCTCTGGGCCCTTGCCCCCTCTACACGCAGCCCAGAGAGACGCAGCCCTGAGCCGAGTCGAACCCTGCAAGAACTTTCCAGGGAATATGTAGACTCCCCTAGCTAGAGTGTCAGAAGGGCTATGCTCCCGGTGGCGATCAGGAGGTATTAAACCAAGGGCACCGAGGACAATGGGGAGTCGAGATATGCATACTAAGCATGCCTTTCCTGAATCTTGCCAGTCACATTGCTGTCAGAAGGGACAGAAAATTCAATGATATAAAAAAATTCATTGCCTTTATCACAACGGGCAAGATTAGGTTTGTTGGCTGGAATTCTTCTTGGCCTATTCCACAGAAGTTTGAAAGCATCATTTTCCATGATGCCCTGGGTCAGGGTCGTACCATGGATGGACCCCGAAGTCAAAGCCACAGGCATGGCGGAGACGGTAGTAACAGCAACGAGCAATGCCATCATGTCGTTTAAGATATTGTGTTTGTGCCAAGGAAGGGCATCCGCTGACATGGTGTTGGACAGTCTCTGTATATTCATTGCACAATCGACATTTCATGCAAATATTTTCTTTTAGAATCACATTTAGGCGATTGCAAGTGGGAAGTCACTGGTCTTGGGCAGCAAAAGGAAGGCCCTCTGTGTCATATGTAAGACCAGTCGACTTCATCCAGGCGAATTACTGTTCTGTTCCACACACTGCATGTACACACGATGCAGTGGTTTCTCAGAAAGCTTCTCCACAAATGACCGACTCTGGGCAAACTCGGTTGAGGACTTCACCTGGTTTACTCCGATCTCTGTACCGTCCAGCAGTACATCGCCATCAACAAAATCAACGTCAAATTTAAGATTGTGTCCAACAACCTTGGCACGCTTAAAATAGCTGTGGAATTCCTAGCTTTCATCATGAGTCTTGACATGCATCACCAGATGACCATCCGATAAATAAATATGTGCAAAACTACACAATAAAATTCTATCACGATGAGCCTCCACATTAATCAAACCCCGAACTCCCGAACTAATTGGTATATGTAAATGATTAAGAGAGGAGCGAGGGTGGTGGGCTCTGTTATCAGACATGATCCTTCTGATCGGGCGGTCAAGACTCTAGATGGCTTGTTTTCTCCAATGAACTACTCAAAAGGAGTAGGAAAGGACTGGCACAGCAAAAGTATTGGTGGCTTTGACCTTGTTTCGAGCATTTAGCTCTGAGTTCCAGATTTTCTTTAAGCGAGTTTTATACTCGGCCCTAAGTTTGTTTTGAATCTGGACATTCCGGAGCTTGTGTTCGAACTTGCATCTCAAAAAAATAGGTGTAGGCCTGATCTTCCACAAGATGCTCAATAACTGCTCCCCCTGTAACTCGACCGATCAACCACTAACTACTTGGAAACGTTTCAAATGAAGAGTCCAAACGTCATGCCAGTATCATTAGAAAAGGCCTCGACAAGGAGAACCTGCTCTTTCAGATTGGTATCTCCTTTGGCAAGGAGCTCGATGTCATCCATGTAAAGGAGATGAGCAAGTGGTGTTTGGATCTGTGCTGAGGAGGTCCGGGATGGTAACCCTCCTCTCTGTTTAGCAGAAAGCTCAAAGGATTTAAAGACAAACAAAAAAGCAAAGGATTAAAGGAGTCCCCCTGGAATATTCCCCTTCTGATTGGAATAGATTCCGAAGTCTCCACCTGCCCTTGCGAGTACATCAAGTTGAGTCGATAATTATTATTATGTTTTACAGATTACGATAAAAATGCAGCAGAGATTATTATTATCATTATCAATGATTACTGATGTAGAGATGTTGTTTTTGTCATTTAACTGGTAATGTGAAAGTGCGAGTGTTTTCTTTCTTTCTTCCAATATTTATATCGCAGCTAGTAGATATAATGTTCGTGATCAAATTTCATCACAAGGGTCCCTTTGTTTGTTGTATTGACAGAATGGATCAGTAACACGATGGCGTTGAGTGATGCTCATGACATCAATCACTGGATTATCTGTGCATTTACAGACAGTCGTCTTGTAACTGGAACATTGCTGCGTGGTACAATAAACATAACACGTTGCCAGGAATCGACCATGTGATATTTACCTAGCCTAGGAAGACATTAGAAAGAAATTAGACCCCAGCAAATAATGGAGAGGAAAACTTAATCTGTTCTCAGATTTCAGAAACAAATATATTGTTGATGGAATGTGAAATTTCCCTAAAATGCGAATTCATCATAATCATTTTGGCTGTTGTGAACAATGTATATTTTGTAGCTATGTCTTGTGTCTCCAACAAGGATTCCCGCCATCGCACGGGATGAAGGACGAATACATACTTCTGATCATATAGAAGCATATCTAATCTAATACATTCATCAGTGAACCCAACTAAGTTTGTTGTTGATCATGAGAGTGCATAAACTCGTATAGTCTTGCAGTGCATGTGATAATAGATCTGTATACGACCTATTTGTACTCACCCCGTATCAGAAATAAGAGAGGTTGATATTCGTGTTATTGCCCGGTGTCCCTACCTCGTTATTCCTTGATACATCGAAAGTTGAATTGATATGTACGTTTTATCCTATTGCTACCAACGCCAATTGTCGACAAAGCACTATTATTGTAATCGTATCAATTAAGAACAGCCGATCTATTTTCCGTTGTTTTTTTTAAAGCTTGATATTAAATTGTAAACTCACTACAGTCACAAGTTTGACTGTTCGGCCAAGACTTGATTGTTTTCAAGCCAACTTTAGGAGATTGTGAAATCGTATGTGGGGAATTTGCCTACTGTTGTGACATATTTATGACTTAAATGATAAAAGAGAGAACTCAATATCATTGTTTGTATTTCTCGGGGAGGTCTGAGGCCTGTCTTAGGTTGTCTCAAAGTCCATGGTACACGCACACTTGCGAAAATAAACAAACATGCTGCAATACAGTGAAATACAATGTAGGTGTTTGCGCTAGCAGTGCTCGTGGGGTGTCAAAGTGGAACTGCTCTGGGTATGTCAGTGGGCTGTCACTGTAAACCGGCATTAGTAATACCACACTCGCACACGCATACGCATAAGCACACACGCATGCACACACACTGACATAAAAGGGCAATAATTTGTAAAGTGACATTCAGATGCTTGTCAAGTTTTATATGGAACATAACATATGGTAAATCATGTGATCGACTTAAAGAACATCCGATATAATATTTCCAGGTCTCTATGAAATCTGGCTGTGGCATTCCAACACGGCCTTCCTATTGTAGGTGTTCTGTTTGTTGTGTTGAATAATATACTGAACAAAGAAACGTCACATATGGATGAATTAATTATATTGAAGATGAATAGTACAAGGTAGATAATATGGGCAAATACCATATTGGCCAGATCTAACCTGACGCATCCATCCATTTCAACTGTTGTGAAAGGCGGGGTGCATGAAGCACTTTCTTTTGTGACTACGCGATCCTCGTGACCACAATTTTATGTGCCTACCTACCAACACGTGTGCAGAATTTGACGGTGATTAGAAATAAACACGTTAACAATCCTTGAGAGACAGATAGTTCTGAAGCCACGTGCAAATGGCATGCTCCAGACTGGCCAGTCTACTGTGGCTATTGCACATGCCATGAGATGCGGTAGACGGACAAGTCACAAGTGAGGACAAGTGTACATCAAACGGGTACGACTCCTGATTGTCCCAGGTCGGAATGGCCACGTGTGACGTCACATGCCGAGGGCACATTCAAATTCGGCTGCGTCATTTGCGGCATCATTTTACCACCTCAGCGTCAACCAGTAATACACTGTTTAGGGGCCTCGTAACTGCCCAGACCATGGGAAAGGATGCTACCCATCTTAGTTCCTGAAGTCCTTCTGTTTGGCCGATTCTGACACAGGTAAACCGTAATGAACGTCTACGCTGGGCACAATTGCACCTGCAAAATCATAGAGTGGCCATCGAGATCACCTGACCTCACTCCAACCGAACACGTGTAGGATGCTCTTGGAAGAAGTCTTCGTACCTTGAGACGTCAACCCCAGTATGTTTAAGAGCTAGGGCCATGCTGGTACAGCAATGGCGCAGGTTTCCTAATGTGTTCACGTGTGTTAATGAGACAACGTTGCCTTGCTGTTGGTAATGCAAGAGGGTTCATACGCGATACTGAACAAGCTCCAACATAGATGGCTCTTTCCTGAGAAATCGTGCTAGTGTTGGCCGTGGAGGGAGCACCAAGCGCACCTTAATGCCAACTCAAGACGTCCATAAACCAGATGTAATCACTAATAACACAATTCGTTCTATATGGGTATGTTTGGGGTATAAACTTATGTAAATGAAGTTTCTTTTTATATATATATATCACATTCATGAGCTTGAACACTTTATCTTTAATTCATGTCATGACACAAAAGAATTAGGATTCGTATTGCATGTTAACATATGCAAAGGGTTGCATACATACTACAACATATACTTACTAATAAAACGGATCATTTGCTTGATAAATACAAAGTGAATATAAACGAGAATGTTTATTGTGTACATCAGATATCATTTGGTCAAAGAGGTAATAGTGGGACAAACGTGATTCATCATCATTACATCAATCTGTGAATGACACCATCACACAATGACACTTGAATGATAATAGTGATAATGGGATCTGTGGGATCTTAATTATGATAATTAATGATAATTGATTCTTACAAATAATCAAGAATTGAAAATTCATAGAAAAAGTGGACTGAGACTTGATATGAGGTCTGCCAGTTGTTTTAATAAAGAGAGATTAAACCTCACATATTTAAAGGTCATATTAGTTATTTAAATTATATCTCGATAGTTCTGTTTTTGAAAGCTGTGATTCGTTATTTGAGACAAATGAATTTCGCTGCTTTCGAAATTATTTCACGTCACTAGCTTTCAGTTTTTACCAATCCAATGTATTTATTAAAACGTATGTGATAAAGATATTAATTACAATATGATATACAATATAAAAATATTGATTAAGTATAACATGTAGTGTCAATAAAAATACTTTTGTTTAAGAACAGCTGCATGTACAATTATGACGTGATCTCTTCATTGAGTACTTTTATCTTGTGTCTTTGATCACATGCTTGACATAGGTATAAGCACCTGTATCACACAGGCATTATACAGGTAGTTGTGGTAGTTGTGGTAGATGACGTCGACAGCAACTACTGTGACTTATGACAGGGCCAGCTTCTCCAACTGCAGCATGGGCGCCTCCACCAGGATGGCCAGCAGGAAGGAGAAGATGAACGACATGCACACGAAGCCGAAATAACGGTACACCTGGAATAGATGCAACAAACCTTGATGGAATTCCGTGTCAATCGGATCAGTGCGTAAATATTCGCAATGACGACACCCCCAGCACCAAGCTGTGTGACAATGGGATGGATTTCGATCATTCTACCTCTATCACATCTTGCACCTGTACTTTCCCACCAACTTATTTTTGTTTTGTTTCTCATCTTTGTTTTATTTCTCACCTCAAAAAAGCAATTCTCAGATAAGGTGAGGTGAAATGGGATTTAACGTCGTACTTCAGAATATTTCGCTCATATGATGACGTGCATGCGTATGTATGTGTGGCTGCTTGTACTAACCAAGACTTAAGCTGGTTTTATAGTGCTAGCTCACTGAGATAGATACCATGCGTCAGTTAAGCATGAATAGCCCACTCAGACACATTATACTGACTCCGAGCCGACCATTCCTTGTTGTACCCATTAATGCCGAGCGACAGGCAGGGACCAACAAGTACTATATTTTAACGTTTCTTGGTATGACGCGGTCGGGGATCGAACCCGCGACCTTCCGCTCTCCGGGCGGACTCTCTAACCACTACACCACAGAGGCGGTCAATTTTTTTATTATTAGTGAAAATACATACTTATTTTAAAAGGATGTTGCAAATACTTACAATATAACCTTGCGTGTAGTAGATGAGTGACCTCATCGATAATGTTTCAGTAATCATGAAGACAAGATGGACGAGGTAGGCCCCGTATGTGAGACGAGAGAGAGGCTGCCACCAGTCCCAGGACAACATCCAGTCCACGATACCTGAGAACAAAACAGTGAAATACATTCTGAATAATGGACATGCATGTTGTTGCTGGACGTTGGCCAGAACAACAGTTTTACAGTGCAAACTCATGTATCAGCGAATACCTTGGCGTTTCCTATGTATAGGAAGTGTCGGACAAGACACGATGGCTTTGGAGGGGATATTCCATTGTGAGTCACAGCACAGTTCAGGTGAATAGGATGTTCAAGATTAATACACTCATGTACACATGTATGTGGTTCTGTATATGTGTCTGTAAGTGTCTGTATATGTGTCTGTATGTCTGTCTGTACATGTGTCTGTATGTGTATGTATGTGTGTCTGTATATGTGTCTGTATGTGTGTCTGTACATGTGTCTGTATCTGTCTGTATGTGTGTCTGTAAGTGTGTCTGTATGTGTGTATGTGTGTTTGTATGTGTCTGTATATGTGTCTGTGTATGTGTCTGTATGTGTCTGTATGTGTGTCTGTATGTGTGTCTGTATGTGTGTCTGTATGTGTGTATGTATGTGTGTCTGTGTGTCTGTATGTGTGTCTGTATGTGTGTCTGTATGTGTGTCTGTATGTGTGTCTGTATGTGTGTCTGTATGTATGTATGTGTGTGTCTGTATGTGTGTGTATGTGTGTCTGTATGTGTGTGTGTCTGTGTATGTGTGTCTGTATATGTCTGTGTATGTGTCTGTATGTGTGTCTGTTTGTGTGTCTGTATATGTGTGTATGTGTATGTGTGTATGTATATGTGTCTGTATGTATGTGTGTATGTGTATGTGTGTCTGTATATGTGTGTATGTGTATGTGTGTATGTATGTGTGTGTGTATGTATGTGTGTCTGTATGTGTGTCTGTATATGTGTGTGTGTGTCTGTATGTGTGTCTGTATGTGTGTCTGTATGTCTGTATGTATGTGTGTCTGTATGTGTGTGTATGTATGCATGTGTGTCTGTGTGTGTGTACATATGTGTATGTATGTATGTGTGTGCTGTATGTGTGTATGTATATGTGTGTATGTATGTGTATGTATGTATGTATATGTGTGTATGTAACCATGTATGTGTGTGTGTATGTATGTCTGTATGTGTGTCTGTATGTATGGATGTATGTGTGTCTGTATATGTGTATGTATATGTGTGTATGTCTGTATGTGTGTATGTATGTGTGTCTGTATGTGTGTCTGTGTGTATGTATGTGTGTCTGTGTGTGTGTGTATGTGTCTGTGTGTGTGTGTGTGTGTGTGTATGTGTGTGTGTGTATGTATGTGTGTATGTATGTCTGTATGTGTGTCTGTGTATGTGTGTTATGTGTGTGTGTGTGTCTGTATGTGTGTATGTATGTGTGTCTGTATGTGTGTGTGTATGTGTGTGTGTATGTGTGTATGTATGTATGTGTGTGTCTGTATGTGTGTCTGTGTATGTGTCTGTATGTGTGTCTGTGTGTATGTATCTGCTGTATGTGTGTGTGTATATGTGTGTATATGTATGTATGTGTATGTGTGTGTATGTGTATGTATGTCTGTATGTGTGTGTATGTATATGTGTGTGTATGTGTGTGTGTATGTGTGTGTATGTATGTGTGTCTGTATGTGTGTCTGTATGTATGTGTGTGTGTATGTGTATGTATGTGTGTGTGTGTGTGTGTGTATGTGTGTGTGTATGTATGTGTCTGTATATGTGTGTGTATGTGTATGTATATGTGTGTGTATGTGTGTCTGTATATGTATGTCTGTATGTATGTGTGTGTATGTGTGTCTGTGTGTGTCTGTATGTGTGTCTGTATGTGTGTCTGTATATGTGTCTATATGTGTGTCTGTGTGTGTATGTATGTATGTCTGTATATGTCTGTGTATGTGTGTGTGTATGTGTGTATATGTGTCTGTATATGTGTGTGTGTGTGTCTGTATATGTGTGTGTATGTGTGTGTGTATGTGTGTGTATATGTCTGTGTGTGTGTGTATGCATGTATGTGTGTATGTGTCTATATGTGTGTCTGTATATGTATGTGTGTATGTGTGTGTGTATATGTGTGTGTATGTGTATGTGTATGTGTCTGTGTATGTATGTATGTATGTATGTGTGTATGTATGTATGTGTGAGTGTGTCTGTATATGTGTCTGTATTTGTGTCTGTATATTTGTTCTGTATGTGTGTCTGTATATGTGTCTGTATGTATTTGTATGTGTGTCTGTATGTGTGTCTGTATGTGTGTCTGTATGTGTGTCTGTATGTGTGTCTGTATGTGTGTCTGTATGTGTGTCTGTATATTTGTTCTGTATATGTGTCTGTATATGTGCCGATATGTGTTTGTATGTCTGAATGTATCTGTGTGTCTGTATATGTGTCTGTATATGTGTCTGTATGTGTGTCTGTATATGTGTCTAAGTGTGTCTGTATATGTGTCTGTATGTGTCTGTATATGTGTCTGAATGTGTATGTACATGTGTCTGTATGTGTGTCTGAATGTGTCTGTATGTATGTCTGTACATGTGTCTGTATATGTCTGTATGTGCGTCTGTATATGTCTGTGTATGTAAGTGTGTCTGCATATGGTTTGTGTGTGTGTTTGAATGTGTCTGTATATGTCTGTATGTGTCTCTATCAGTGTTTGTACGTGTCTGTATGTGTGTCTGTTTTGGCCTGTATGTGTGTCTGTATAAATCAGTATATGTGTATATGCGGGGGCGCGGTGGGCGAGCTGTCTAAGACGCCAGGCTAGTAATCCAGCGAGCTTGGAGGTGCCAGCGTCGAGCCGCCGACCTGTGACCGGGTGTAAAAATCTTTGGAGTCAATTTTGTGTGCAGACTCTTTCAGTGTTGTCACAACCCCTGGTGTACAGTACACAACCCTGTGCACTTAAAAGAACCCAGGAATTCGTTGGTATATGACCAGATGGTGGTCACATGAATACGTGCAAACACCTAGTTGCGGGTACAGCAACGTGCAGTGAACTTGGACAAAGTACTGTGACTAAGTGTCCCAGTCCACCCAGCTGTGAATGGGTAACTCGTAAGGATGGAAAAAACACATTAACTCGGTGCGCCTAGTTGGCAGCAAGAGTTGTATGATCCCCATGGAGTTGAGATTGAAAATATAATGTGCCGTTGTGATGGATATCCAATGATCGAGGGAAAACAAAGCGCCTTTGAGCAGCTGAACTGGATATCGGCTCTATAACAATGTATGTCTGTATTAGTGTATGTGTGCATATGTGTATGTGTGTCTGTGTGTCTGTGTCTCTGTGTGTGTTTTTGACTGTTAGGCCACCAATATACCGCGCTGCAGTTGAACATGAATGTCCCTTAAATTGCTGATCTCTACACAGACTGTCAAATAATATCATGGTTTAACCTCTTTTGTAATGATACATGCCGACCTTCCTTTCATCGGACTACGTTTCGAAGGCTGTCCACGAGCAAAGGTGAACTGTGCATGATTTAGACAGAACCATCATGACGATTCGCCAAAGCGTCAAAGAAGGCATTTATCAGTTATGACTGATGTTGGCTTCTATTTATTGCGTTTGTCTTCAACACGTCAAGTTTCATAACCGACAAATCTGCAACTGTATCTGAGATATATTCAGTCACAAGCACCTCCTTTTCCCTTGCAGCAGATGAAGACGACCCAACCCAGGACCAGCGCCCAAACAGGTCTGAACAGCGTGTCGAAAGCGGTCCTTCCATCGATTCCCCAGCCTGGTCCTTTTGTGTCGTCATAGGTTAACAGTGTGCATAGTCCGGCTGCCGTCAAAGCCAGGACCCATCCCAAACCTTGCATGAACTGGAATATATAGAGACAAATACAATTTTATGAACATATGATACCTTTCATTCTTCTCTGTGCAACTGAACTATGAAAAGTATGTTAAGTATGAATCACTGTCAAATAGTGATGATTTTAAGTGTTCCCGAACTAGTAAGTGTATCCTGCTCCACCGCTAGCAGCCGTCACGGGCACCTGCAAAGGTCACTAATTATTGTTAACCCAGTACCAAACCTAACCGTGAGTGAGAGAATTTAGTTTTACGCCGCAGCAATATTCCAACCATATGGCGGCGGTCTGTAAATAATCGAGTTTGGACCAGACAATCCAGTGATCAATAGTATGAGCATCGATCTGCTCAATTGGGAACCGATGGCATGTGTCAACTAATCCGGCGAGTCTGGCCACCCGATCCCGTAAGTCGCCTCTTACGACAATTATGGGTTACTGAAGATCAATTCTAACCCGGACCTTTACGGGTCTACCCGTATAGAACAGTAATGAACACCACAATATATAATATGTATGTATGTTCTGGAGATCATTGACCTGGAGTCACTTTATACATACATATATCTTTAAGAAAGGGTAAACGAGACCAACATGGATGTCAATGTCGGATTTCTGTTCATGTGTTAAAAGTAGTTGTAACAAGTTCGTAATTTCCCGTTGTGTTTACTCATAAAGATCCGGGTAAGAATTGATCTTTAGCAACCCATGTTTATCGCAAGAGACGAAAAACGGGATCGGGTGGTCAGGCTTGCTGACTTGGTTAAGACATGCCATCGTATCAAAAATTGCGTAGATCGATGCTCATGATAATGATCACTGGATTGTCTGGTCAGACGTTGCCATATAGCTGGAATATTGCTGAGTGTGGCGTTAACAACAAACAGCAAGATCCTATTGTGTAATGCTCACTGGAGAAATCTCGATCTTTGACTTCTTCGTTTGAAGCATATAGCCAACAAGCATCCCTATGGCGAATGGTCCGATCCGATTCCAAGGTTTGATGTACACATTCAGGAACACCCCGTTGAGATCCCTGTAAAGTGAATTAATGTTCATGACGAGACGTGGTTTTATTGATACATCATGCAGAATAGCTGCCTTCCAGTCAACAGTCCATTGCAAATCACTGTAAAAATCTTCATTACGAATCTTTCCAAAGTGCAATGATGTCAGAAGCTTTTTTTGATGTGGGCAAGCATGATGTGACGTGCAAGCATGTACTGTGACATGCTCATCAGAACCATTCCCGGTTCTCTTCTCTCTGCCCTTTGCTTATTTGTAATGAAATAGTGACCCAACCACTACCATAATCATACAAAATCTGCCTTGTCCTGACCGATTGAGCCAATTCACTGAGCGCATGTTTATGGATCACAACACCATTTTACACTATTCGGCCCTATCGGTTGTATCCGTCACAAACACATGCAAAGGCAAGTCAATAGTTCACCTAAAACACAGGAACATAATTGAAACAAGTATCAGAAATGCACTCCATATTTCTGCTTTGAAAGTTTGGCTGAGGCCATGCATGTTTTAACTTTGATCAAACAGATTGTGAACAAGAGTTGTGGAACTAGTTGTGTATAAGTAGCTGCACATCTCAAATAAAAAACAAAATAAAAAAACGGGAAAATACGAACTGGAAGTTGTGATATGAATAGTAGCCAGTGCAGGCGATGCTGATGATGATGCATCCGACAGACACGCATATACCAATCAGCTTCAGGACCTTTCTTGCAAAGTTGTCCTTCATCTGTGAACTGACAAAACATCAAGAGTTACTTGGTTGACTTGTTGGTTTGTTGTTTAACGCCGCACTCAGCAATATTCCAGCTATATGGCGGTGGTCTGTAAAGAATCGAGTGTGGGCCAGACAGTCTAGTGATCAACAACACGCATCGACCTACGCCATCGGGATATGGTGACGATCCCGTTAGTCGCCTCTTACGACAAGCATGGGTTGCTGAAAACCATTCTGCCCTGATCTTCACGAGTACAAAACACCAAGACACAAGTGGACATGTTATAGCAATTCATAACTTGTAGCACTAAAGACAAGATAGAGATCACACTTATAAGAAAGATAATTAGAATTACTAATGGTGACCATTAGGTAAGCAAAGTACATCATATGACTTTGGATAAGTTAAAGAAAGAAAGGGATTATTCTTACCTTAGTGCCAAGGGGATCAACGCCAGGGGAGCCACAACATAGAACTGCATGTCGTTGGCGAGGTACCAGCTCCAGGCTATACACTGAAACACAGAGAACACATGTGACGTTTGTGTTTTGTGAAGACATGCCGTAAATAGGATGAGTTGTTTTGTTTTGCTTTTGTATATTTTGTTTGTTTGATGTTGGGTGTGTTTTGTTTGGGTTTTTTGTTTTGTTTTGTTTGGGGTTTTTTCTGTGACGGTGTTTTGTGGTTGTTTTTTCCGGGGGTTTTCGGGGTTTTTTTGTTTTTGTTTGTTTGGCTTTTTTGTTTTCGGTTAAGGAGGGTGGCGAGGGTGTTAAGCCGCACTCAGCATTATTCCAGCTATAGGGCAGCGGTCTGTAAATAATCGAATCTGGACCAGACAATCCCGTTATCAAAATCATGGGTTTTGAGCTACGCAATTGAGATACGATGATGATGAGCACGACACAAGTGCGTGGAAACAGGAGCTGTGTATAAAGCCAATAATATATTTTTTAAGTCATTTCAAAATGTAAGACTCACTAATGTAAGTATAGCGACTTAGTTCAGGCAAATGTTCTAGACTAATTTTGCAAAGTATGCCATACTATTTAGAGGTACTGTTTACACATGAACTGATGTATTGTAAGACATATTCGTTACGTTGAAAAGATTATTGTCATGAGTTCAATAAGTGAAAAAAACATTGGAAATTGGCCAAATTGGTGCCGAGCGCCAGGCAGGGATCAACAAGTACCATATTGTGACGTCTTTTCGTATGACCCTGCCGGGGATCGAACCCGCGACATTCCGCTCTCCGGACGGACGTTCTAACCACTACACCACGGAGGCGGATTTAAGGATGAACATTGGGATAGTAAACATAAAATAATGGCTATTTATATAGTGTCTGTTTCCAAGCACATGTGCATGCTCAAAGTACTAACGGATTATTACCCCGGATAACCCAAGCTGCCCGTGAGGCGCTAGAAGGTATATGGCATCCTACCGGGTACCCATTCACTGCAGGGTGAACAGAGGCAATTCATGAACAAACTCAATTGTCAAAGGTGATACCACATGTGTCACGTGTGCTTCGTTGTAGGGCAGGACTGAAGTCCTAGAAACTCTTAGGAGTCAAACAAACAGAATCATAACTATTTATTTAACACCTGTTTCGGTGGTGTCATTGTGTGCAAGTCATCCTGTTCTATCTCAGATCGTTTTAATCTACATGTGTCATTACCATTTGGTCTGGTGAGAGTACATTATTTATGTACAGTAAGTTTATCCACCAGTTCTTCTCACAAACTGCCTTGTCGGTAGGACTTGTCCAGGTTGGACCATCAACCAAATACGGCACAACGAACGTGTAGACGAATATCACATAGGCGTACACAGGTGTCAATCTGAAATTGATCAACAGAAACTATTGCTGAAATACGTTCATGGCTCTCATAAACAAGGGGCGGTGGGGTAGCCTTGTGGTTAAAGTGTTAGCGCGTCAGGTAAGCTTATCCTGCTCGTTGGTAGCTCGAGTCAAAACATGCGGCGGCATGAAGGTGTAAACCTGTTAAGCTAAGTTTAACAACACAAAAATGTAACGAGAATCGAAAAATCACAGAATCAAAGTCAGCGTTGTTGTGATTTAATGTTACAACTGCACGATATTACCATTGTGGACCATGCTAATGGCATCGTTCACAATGAATAAGTACCTCATGCAACAGGTGTAACAGTAATCTCCTAAGAAACCTCCAGCTGCATGTCCTACTCCCACCTTGATCCGTTTGAATTGCTAGATTGGAATATGACTGGACCGATATAATGGCAAGGATTGTTGTGAGTTCAGAACATTAAGAAATGTATTCAAGGCCAAATTTAGAAGCAAAAGAAAATGAAAACAGACTTAAATGAATGTAGAAATAATCCTAAATTATTTTAGAGAAAGTTAAAGCAAGGCCATGTGTGTGATGGTATTCGCAGAAAATTGGTAGTGAAGATTGGACACGTCATTTTAGCAATCTCCTATGTGTAGATAATATTACTAGTGATTTCAGGTATGATAATTTGGAGAGTATTGGAGATGTAAATATATTCAGTCTTAATGCTCCTATTACCCTCAGGGAAGTTTTGTTTCATATAGATAAGACTGGATTAAACAAATCACCTGGTCCTGATGGTTTAACTACGGAGTTTCTAAAGAAAACTAAGAATAATATTTCATCTGTATTAGTTTTATTGTTCAATAAGATATTTGAGAGTGGCAATTTTCCCAAAGAATGGGGTAAGAGTGTTATATGTCCCTTGTTTAAGTCTGGGGATAGGCATTCTCCTGATAATTATCGAGGAATTTCTTTAATCGATATAGTATGCAAGGGGTTTTGTTCTATTCTTAACTCTAGGCTTCAGAGTTGGTGTGCTGAACATGGTTTTATTGACGAAGCACAGTTTGGCTTCAGAGAGGATCGTTCAACTATTGATAGCATATTCTGTTTGTATTCTGTTGTTCTTAAGTATGCACTTAAAAAGAATGGAAGATTTTATTGTTTATTTATAGATTTTTCAAAGGCTTTTGATTCAATTAACCATGATGTATTGCTGAGTACCCTGCAGGCAGTAGGTGTGGGTGGTAATTTTATGAAGATCATAGTATCGATGTATTCCAACTTGACAGCTTGTGTGCGACTTACAAACGGTCTATAAAATTACTTTTGTTGTAATACTGGAACAAGACAAGGGTGCATTTTAAGCCCACATATGTTTATCATTTTCATAAATAACCTGATAGACTTTATGAAGGAGAGTGGCGGAAGGGGTATTTATTTATCTTCAACTTTTGATAATATGTTTGTTTCATGTTTGCTAATGATGTGTCAGCTATGGCTGATTCATGTCTGCAGTTGCAAAAAATATCTATGCTCTGGAGCATTTTTGTGACCGTACGGGTATGAAAGTTAATCTGAGTAAGACAAAGGTAATGGTTTTCCGTAATGATGGTCCATTGAGGAAATATGAAAGATGGTTTTTCAAGGGAGATCCAATAGATGTTGTTTTTACACCCAAACTTTGCTGGAGTAAGGCACAGGATTCTCTTGCAGCACAGGCAAATACAGCATTATTAGTTATTTATACTTATTCAAGGAAATTTGGCAGTTTATCATGTAAGGACGTGTTTAAGATATTTGATGCTACAGTTGTTCCAATATTGTGTTATGGTTCAGAAGTATGGGGTGTAAATTATTGTAAGAAAATTGAGAGTGTTCAGATTAAATTATGCAAATGGATTCTTAAAGTTGGCAGAAATACTACAAATATTATGGTTCTTGGAGAATGTGGAAGAGTCCCACTTCAGTAAATCTATATGACTAGAGCGGTTAAGTACTGGACGAAACTTATAAATATGAACGAAAATAGGCTGCCTTTGCAATGCTATAATATGTTGTTGTCACAGGATAAAGGTGGAAGAACAAATTGGGTTGCACATATCAAAAGCATTTTGTTTAGACTTGGCTTTGGATTTGCTTGGGTTGCACAAGATGTAGGGCACCTCGATACCTTTATTTCAGCATTTAAGCAAAGGCTGTTTGATAATCTCCATCAAAAGTGGGTCTCAGAATTGGGTGTTTTATCGAAGACACAATACTACAAGCAGTTTAAATCATTATTAAATGTTGAATTGTATTTATCATCAGATTTTCCTATTTGTATTAGGTCTGCCATCGCAAGATTCAGATGTTGTAATTATGGACTAGCCGTAGAAACAGGTCGTTATGATGGTACTGAATATTTAAGGCGACTCTGCCTCTTTTGCCTTAAAGATGGATTATCTTTTGTGGAAGACGAATACTATGTATTATTTGTGTGTAAACAATATGCAATCATAAGAAGCACATACATTTTCAAACATGTTACATCAGTATCACAGCAGTCTTTGATAAAAAAACCAAAACATTATGGCATCAGTTAAATGTAGTGTTGCCTATGATATTGGTCAGTTCCTACTTAAGGTGTATAAACTTAGAATTGCCCTTACATGTGAAATGGGTGTGTAACATGTAAATACATATGTATGACAACTCTTGCAGGGAATAATTCATGGACTCTACTGTGTATTTATGTGCGGATTGTGAAAGTTAATACATGACTGTATTTTTTGGCCAATGGCCTCGGTACTGGAATAAATTGTCTGTCTGTCTGATATTAGACAGGACAGGGCCAATCTGACACACAGTCAGTGAAACAACTTGCACATAAACGGTACAGATAGGAAATATTTTCCAACAAGTCTTCAGTTCTTTCATATCGTCAATTGGCAGACAAACAGGTATTGAGTATCTGTTTGGTTGGCATTTAGAAGTTGGTGACTAATAAGAAAGTAAGATTGTTTATGGATAACAATTTATTTTATTATATATGATGCGACGTTTCGGTATGGATTCTTATACCGTTGTCAAGCAAGAGTGATGTACTACAGCACTCATCAGCCATATATATTTAGTTTCTGCCTCTAGGCTTCCTCCTATTGTCACTACATTTTTACCACCGTGCCATGTTGTTGTTGTTAATCCCCTAGATTCATACCTACATGTTGTTATTACTTAATCCCTGTTCATGTATATAAGTCTGTTCTGTGCTGTAGTTCTTCACTCTTGCTTGACAACGGTATAACAATCCATACCGAAACGTCGCATCATATATAATAAAAGAAAATGTTATCCATAAACAATCTTACTTTCTTAGGTATTGAGTATTTCAACATTTAATACTACATCTAGAATGTGTACAGATTGAAACGCAAGTGGGATGTGATGAAACATCGACTAAGAGCTGACTTACCTCAAGTAGCGGTGGACGTAGTACATGACCATGTGCTTCACCTTCAGACCTCCAGCCTTCTCCGTCTCCTTCAGGAACAAGTACGTCACCAATAGGCCACTGTAAACATTTCATAGAAACTAGGTTTTGAATTTTATTTTCCGAAGGCCATTCTAACATGAACTGGAAAATCGTGACTAAAGCCAATTGCATTTACTAAATAGATTTATTCAGTCACCTTCACAGATAATTCAAACTGGAATTATCATTGTAAAAGATGATAAAATATGCACACAAAATTTAAACAATGAGCCTGGTTGAAAAGTGTAACTGAATATGCATTGTGACGTGATGTGGAAAATGGTGTTACCTGAGAAAAAAGAATGTATCCACCGATAATGGAGCGTTCATAATAACCTGGAAACTGAAACTCCTTGTTATCGGCAGGAGGTCTGCTCCATTTTCTGAAAAACAAGTGATTTACGATTTAATAGCACATCACACAAGTTTCTAATTTACATGCGGTCCATACTTCCACTGTGGTCATCCCCAAATTATCTGGGTGCCGTTGTACAAAACAACCTTAGCGCTAAGGTGACCCTAAGTCCCATACCTTAACATAGACTTACGATAGTCATAGTTAATGTTTTGTACAACGGCATTCCAGATATGTTCATCAAGCAACTATATATCGAGTTCAAGGAAACTATACACGATGATATATTATGTGTACATTATGTTGACAATGTGAATCATATGCACGACCTACCTACGTTAGTAATGAGATTAAGGAACGTGTGTCCCAAAATGACCCAGCTCATGCTGAGCACCCGGATGCCGTTAAGACAGGTAAGTGATCCAGGTGAGCGTTTCACGCTGAGGATCTTCTCCCCATTGCTGACGGCTGAGAAACACAACAGGACACGCTTCCATACTGAAAATACAAGCGGCAAAACAACTTCCGTAATGAAGTCGTTGAGAGGCATATAGAAGTTGCTATTCAAGTATAAGACAAAATATGACGAAGGGGCAAAGGAATAGCCCAGAAACGTTGTGTATACAATAAAGAAGAAGTTGACATCCATAAAATTTTGTCTTATAGTTAAACTTCCGTAATTACAAGAAACCTCCGCTGTGAAGAGCCGATTAATGTCCAACACAAGTTATACTGCAATACTGATGTTCCCGGTAGGACTGGTTGTGTAAGTGCAAGCTGCAAGCCGTCACATTGAGTCTTCGTTTGAGAGCACAAGTGAAGATCAGGTTTAGAATCGGTCTTCAGTAACCACGGCATGTAATTTGATGAAAAGGCGACTACCGGGGTTGATCCGTCAGGTTCACTGACTCGGAGGATGCATTTATTTGTATTCCGATCGCTCATAACATCAATCACCAGGTTCTGTTGGTCACACACAATTATTATGAGATCGCTGTCATTTAACTGGGAAAATGTTGAGGACAATTTGATATGAGGTCATCCATTGTTTGTGGTGTCAAATATTGGAAGAATCTCGCCATCTGAACAACAACCTTTCAATATCTGCATATAATATATTCCCTCGCCAAATGCCCAGACCTTCATCCACGGAATACACCGCTTGTTGAATTAATGTTAAGAACAGTTTTCAAAGAATAAACATCCACACACACACACACCCAACTCCACCACGTCACATTTACAACTCAGTGGCCATTGGTGTAAGGTTGCTGGAAAATAGTGTAGATGGAGAAAAAGAATGATGTGTAACTTACATTTTGGTTTCTGGTTCTTTGGTTTCTCTTCTGATTTGGGCAGCTGAGCAGTATTAGGATATAGAAAGTGTCCACCTTTTGTTTCAGGTAATGCTGGACCTGCAGGGTTGTCTAGTCCACCATTCTCTACGTGACCAGTCCCTTGCGAATTGCCAATCAAACCATCTCTATGCCCATTGCTAACTGGTGCCTCAATCCCCTCAGTGTCCTTAGACTGTAAATTTGCACTGATTTTTTCTAGCTGAACAGCATCCAGACCAGGAGTGACAGGGGCCTTCTCACCATGATCTTTGGTAGCCCGGATGTACAGATCCAAAGCAGAACCCAGAAGAACCATGCATCCCAAGATGGCTGTCAGGACGCTGAAATTGGTCCAGACAAAGGGCAGTGAAGAAAACGAGAAATGGAAATGCATTAATTTATGCCCATAGGTATTTCAACAGCAAATCTTAATTTGTGTTATGGTGTGTCTTCTGTATCGACGAGCAACCTATTGCCCACACCATTCAACCCGGCTTACAACTAATGTTATTGCTGAGTCTAATGTTTCGTACCAACAGTCTCTTGTTCTGTCTTTGCGATGGCGACGTACATATTTCAGTGAACTTCCAAATATCGGTTCTTCAACAGAAAACCGTTCGAATGTTCAAAAACAACAGAACATAATCAAATCTGGGCTGCCACTTAGTCCCAGAACAATTTAAATTGCTTCATCTAAAACACAGTATATGTATCCAAAGACAGCTGACTTTGTGTGCTAGCGATTAGGTGCTGACTCAGAGGAGGTGGGTTGCACCTGCGGATGGGACCCAACCCAACAAAAATTCTAGAATCTGTACTTACTGAGAAGATGTAATCCCAAATATAACATATTTCCGTGTTAAATCCAATTAAAGCCCCAAAACAACTTCAGAGCCGAATAACTTGATGTTAGCATCACTGGATGGTATGTGCCCTATATTTTGTACCCGTGAAGATCCGGGTTAGAATTGGTCTTCAGCAACCCAGGCATGTCGTAAGACTAATGGTGGTCAAACTGAATGACTCGTATCCCAACTGCTTAGATCGATGCACACAGCTGGAATATTGCTGGGTGAGGAGTCTTGCCCAAGCGTTCTATACCGGAGGTGGACTGATATTTTATTTTCTAGATTTTGGAAGTTTGGGAGAGAGACTGGCTCAAACCGTCTGACCTTTCAAACGTATTTCTGCTCTATGTGACAGACGATCTACTCTCTTACTAGCACAATCTGATACCATCTCTAAAATACAGCTGCCACACCATCACTCACATAGCTCCCACTGCTGCGCTGTCCTCACTCATAGGCCCGTTCTTCACTTCAGCATGACACACCACTTTGTCTATTGTCAGGTTAACTTGAGACAACACTACAACATGAATAAATGAAACGAGTGACAAAATGATAGGACATCCCTATTGTGATCGGAGTACAATGTATAGTTCTGACTATACCATAATCATTGATCCGCGTTTACAGACTAGTTCAACAATAACCAAGCTGGAAACTGCATGTATTGGATCCAGGAAACGTATTGGGGGGTCGCTTGCACTGGAGTTATATATACTACTGGAATAAAGTAACTGTGCATTATTTGATGTCATGTCATTTTTTCATGCAAATTGATAATGCCATGATTTATGGTGTTTTCCTTTATTACTGTTTAACTGTTCACAGGATAATATCGAAACCTGTATGATTCGACACTAGGCAGCGTGGCACGCCCTTGAAGGGACTTGGTGTCAAAAGTCAGTTCACAAATTCAGTATCGGGTGTGTCCACCATTGGCGTTCATCAAGGCTTGACAACGACGACGCATAGATGACACTAATCGATTGAAGAAAGCTTGGGGAATATTGTTCCATATCTGAACCAACGCTTGTCCCAATTCAGCTAACGTCAATGGCTGTTTCTGGGTTTGACGTAACGTCGCTGCATTTCATTCTGAGCCTGCTCGAGAAGGGACAGGTCCGGAGAAACAGATGGCCATGGTAGTACCGGAATGTTCTGTTGTCTTGGAAAACCTGTCTCAACACGAGCGACATTTTGACGGGCATTATCTTGCTGAAGCGTGAAGCTACGTCTCTGTCCTTGGATGAACGGCTCCACATGAGGCCCAGTGCTCTCATCCCTGTATCGCAGACCTGTCAGATTGCCATTGACAATGACAGTTGTGACTGACCATGAGATGTGATGCTCCCTCAAACCATAACGCTTCCGCAACCAAAGTGTCGACGTTGAACGCCGCATGCGTCAGCATGCCGTTCACGTTGCCGTCTATACACCCTTGCCCAACCATCTGAGCTGTCCAGATGAAATCTCGAAATACCATCCCAATCTTGTCTCCTGTACCGTAAATGAAGTCTGCACCAGGCAAAAGGTGCCTGTTGGTGACGTATTGCAGGCCGTCGGGGACGGATGTTGTGCTCCCACAGTCGGTTCCGTACATTCCGGGAACAGATTGGACGTAAGCCAGGAAGGGTCCGACCAGTCAAACTGGCAGTCTGGAATCTATTCCTTAGATGGGTCAGCCGAATGTGGTTGTCCTGCTGACGTGACGTCACACGTGGACGGCCGGGCCGAGACAAATATCTCGTGTTCCCATTATGTTGAAAACGTCTCAATAGATATAACATCGTGTTTCGATGGACACCAAAATGTCTGGCCACTTCATGTTGGGCCATTCCAGTCTCCAGCATGTACACGGCGCGGAGACGCTGATTTTTCTTTAAGCCGGGGCATGACATACGCGCAGTTTAGGTTCAAACTAATGTGTTTTCCACAACATTCAGAGGTTTGAGAATAATCAACAGTTTTTCAATATCTAGTGTGTGAACTTCAGGTGTCAAAAAGCATTTAAAAAGTGGGTAAGTTCAGTGTGCTCAAAGTGCACGTGCCACGCGCGATACGTGACATCAAATTTCTTGCAAAGTGCTTTGCCACATGTTTATTAAGGGTTATTTTTATAACTTTCTAAATAACTGTTATTTTATGCAATTTAATGTTATGCACAGTTACTCTTTTCGTAAGTAAACTTACACCCCTTGACTACCTTTACACACATCGTAGATCCACCATAGTGGTTTTGTTCTGACTAAACCTGAATATTAGTCTTCAGCTCCAGGGGATAGTCAATCCACAACAAGACAGATTCCATTGTGCGTACAATAGCATAGCATAATATGCAATTACATAGATGGATCATTAAAGTCAATGATGAGATTTTCGCGACAATGAAACAAACGAAGCAGTATGTTTCTGTTAAAATGGTGATTTAGTAATTCATGTAAATATTAATATAACTAGCGCGAAACATTGGTCCCGAGTAACTACGACTAAACAGAAAGGGCGTGAATAACTTATTATTATGTAATAGACCCGTGAAGATCCGAGTTAGAAATTATCTTCAGTAACCAATGCTTGTCGTAAGAGGCGACTAACGGGATCGGGTGGTCAGGCTGGCTGACTTGGTTGACACATGCCATCGTATCCCTGTTGCGTAGATCGATGTTCATGCCGTTGATCACTCGATTATTTACAGACCGCCGTTTTTAGCTGGCATATTGCTAAGTGTGGCGTAAAACTAAGCTCACTCACTCACTCACTATGTAATACTTCGAAAGGTGACATTGGTCAGTTATCATTCACTGATTTGCCTGGTCCAAATTCCAGAATTGACAGGTAACTATGATAAAGCTGGGAGACTCATGCGGCATTTAATCACTGATCTCATACGAGGTCAACACAGGCCTATAAGACTAAGGGTACATCTAAATAGTCCCATATTAGCAATGACTATGCCCCAATTGTTGATTGACATAATGTAGAAACAGTTATTCCTCCCTACACTATATCAGTGTTCTTCGTTTCACGATATTCATGCATGACGATTCCTAAACCAATCTAATCTTCTATCACTTTCTTGAGTTTTAAAAACTCCACAATCTACAATCCATACGGCTTTTGTAATAAACATAAAGAACCGTTAACATTCTGTGACAAACAATTATTGGTTAGGTGGCACTTGTTTAAACGAGCGGCACTATACGTACTGCTTTGTATGTCTGCCTTGACTTTATTGCTGCCGCACGTTTCTGGAAGGCACAGATGCCAGTTGAAGGCAAGGTTCGGAGCTAAGACCTAGAAACATGATCATGAAGTATCTTAAAAACAACATTCACGCTATATAACTGTCACAAGATTGATATATTCGGACTATTTGGAATAAAGGAGTGATCTATTTTAATACCGAAAGCCATAGGGTTAGAACACACGTTTTCCGGGACATTTCTTCTAGCATTAAGCAACATACTGAAATATATTAGCACTGTTCAAAGCAATGTTAAACCCATTCATTCACTCAAAACATTCTGGGTAGAAAATGTCAGTTCTAAAATAAGACACATGTGTAACATATTAGCGTAAAGTTGTTAATCAGCAGAAGATAAATGAAAATCATCTCAATGACTCAATTACCAGACAAAAGAAATTCAAAATTCAAAACGTGACCTGGCTGAAGGTACTCGAGGACATTCTGCAAATTATTTAGAGTCCGAATCACATTTCGATACATTTCACATACAATGTGATACGTATAAATGTTTTGATCAAGTTCATGTACATGTAGACACTCTAGGGCTCCGTTCCATGTAGGATTTGCATGATTGTGAGGCAAGGTCAGGTTAGGGGCAATCATTTCAGAGTAGTGTTCAAGATTGTTTAACTCACATGTGAGCATGCACTTGTGTGTGGCTGTTCCTGTCGGACTTACAGAGATAACCCATTAAGATGGCATAATGCAGTATAGCATGGATACACACAATAACTTTGTTCATGCTTTATCCTTATTTCACAACGACAGGCAGGCAACAAGCACAATCTTTCGTAGCCCTTATTGATTTATTCCTATTTTGATACATGAAATCTTGATCCTCGGCTATGTCTCCCAACCACCGAAACCCACCAAGATCCGGGTTAGAATTTATCTTCAGTAACCCATGTTTGTCCAACGGGATCGGTTGGTTGACACATGTCATTGTATCCCAATTGCGTAGATCTATGATCATGGTGTTGATCACTGGCTTATCTGGTCCAGACTCGATTATTTACAAACCGCCGCCATATAGCTGGAATATTGCTGAGTGTGGCGTTTAACAACAAGTAAACAACAACAAAAAACAACTCACGAATGGAACTTAAGAAAACTGAACATACACTTGCGGGCCCCATCATGTTTTAGCAGCTGTGGAGGGGGTTTAATGGAGACAACGCAGGTGTCCCCCTTTACTTGTCTACCAGTGGATAGGTCCACCTCACTGACCACCTCAAGACATTCATCATAGTTCCCGAAGAAGGTGGTTGCCCCTTTAAAGATGGAGGAAGCAGGTTTCCCTGATGCATCGATCACTGAAAAGGGTAATAGGAACCAAGTTTTACATGGCAAAGTATGCAAAGAAAATAACAACAAATGTTAACGAAATGCGATTAAGTACTCACTGGAAAGTGCCCACATCTTCCCCTGTAAGAGATCGCCTAGAAAGGTATACACGTCTTCAGAACACATTATTTCGTCCTCCGTCAGTCCGCTTGTGTTTGACAGTAAAAGCCCCTTCAAGATGGACGGAAGCTGAGGACCCAGACTTCTTAAAAGATTTGTAATATTGTTCATGTCGATAGATCCTCCCCCCATGAGAAGAGGCAAAAGGGAGCTCCCCATACCTCCTGGAATCTTGTTCTGCATGGACAATAATGAAAACGGAAATGATGGTAATGTCGTTGATGTGTTGGTGGAGACAGTGGAGTTCCCAGAAGACGTTGGTGTCGTTGGTGTAGTAAAGCTACCTGCATCCTTTGAGGGGGAAACTTTCGGGATTGAAGATGTGCTAGTGGCAGATGATGAATTTAAATTCAAGGAATATTTGGGAGAACTGGCTGATGCCGCAGCCGTTGTAGCTGTAGTCGATGCAGGTGTTGAAGACACATCCCTGGTTGATGAGGAACCTGATGTGGACGCCAAACACAGAAACGCCCACAGAAACACACACACGGTGAAGCTTTTCATTGTCCAAATTAAGCAGTCAGTATAACGCAGTAACATGCGGATGCTCAGTCAACGTTCCAGCACTTATCAGGCGATATGTGTTCCCTGCATCTCCTCTAATCAACTGCCACTGATGTCTTCAGATAAAAACTAAATTCTGTATACTGGGTACGCTGACTGTGACACGCAATATCTGCACGCCTGAGGTGTGTCAGCAGCCTCTTTATACCACCATAGGTCCCTCTCGAGGAGCCTTCAACATTCCCCTATATCTCCGTACCCTTATATGGATAGCAGATAGCTCTAGTGAACCAACCCACACCAAGTGAGATATCACACTAACCGTAAATAGATATACCCGTGTTTACATCTATAGGCAATTAGAAGACAAGTGTTGTGAACATTGTAATCAAACATCCCTTATAAGGAATTTACACGCTAGTATATGCAGTCAACACTAGCCATATATGGTATTGATCGGATATTGACTATCGGAAGGCAGGAGTCTTAATAGGTCATGCTCAGTGACAAAGAAATCGCACAGAGGAATGAACTCCAGCTTTCTGCCGGGAAACCTCAGTTTTGTTCTATGGAACCCTGTTGAATCTTTGGCGTATATTTGATCTGTTTCTGGGATCCATGCTGTGTTTTGCATGCATTGTGTTTTTGAATAATACTTCGTTGTTTGATATTCTATTCTGAATTGTGCACGATCTTTTGTTTTTAGCATGCGGGTTTTTCAGAAAGCAACAACACGAAATTTAAAATTATATCACGACTCTGAACAGTGACAACAGACCTCTAACGAAGAGAGGAATAATCTCATTTGTATTTATTGATAAGCCTAAGTTTGTGAAATGCAAATCTGTAAAAGCATGTATTGTATACAGGAGTGTTGATTATGGTAGATAGATAAGCTGGATTATCTCATGTATGGATTTCACAAAAGGTTGGAAATGAATGTAATTTTTTTTTATATGTTTTTAAGCAACGTCTTCAGGACATTTTCTTCAAAGAATGGTCTTTGCCTATGAAGAATTCAAAATTTTTAGAACACTATTCTTCTCATAAATCTTTGTTAGAACCGGAGTTTTATATTATGAATCTACAAGACAAATCGTTAATACGGGCGTTGTGTAAATTTGGAATTGGCTTTTATGATTTTAGAATTCACTATTTACGCAAACCGAAAGAACTTTCAGTGATGTAAATGATCCATCTGTAAAAATTGTAATACAGGTAATATTGAAAGTGAATTTCATGTATTATTTGTGTGTACCAAGTATTCAGATTTACGAAGTAAATATTTATCATTTATATCAGCACCTGTAAGAGATAAACAAATATTGCCCAGTCTGTTAAATTGTAAGAACATTGATATTATCAAATCTATTGCAATTTATTTAAAACATGTCTTTAATGCAGGAAATGTCACTACTACCACGTGCATTTAATTGTAGCAAGTATTTGTACAATAGGCCTTTAGGCCCGAAATACTGAATAAAAATGAATCTGATAGATAAGCTGTGGTTTATCTAGGTGACGTCTCTAGTGGTTTTGACTCAAGCAGCACGTTCGCCTGGATAGTTCGGATGTCATGGTTGTAGTGGAGTGCACGAGGCCTGTGTTGCTGGGCCCTGGGGCCCGAAATACGTGTGAAGCTGTGGAAGGTGCGTGCGAGAGTGAGTGCGTGAGAGAGTGCGTGTGTACGTGCTTGGGGAGTGGATTTAACGCCGCTTTTAGCACTATTGCAGAATATCAGGACGGAGAATCCCAGATATGGTCTCCAAACATTTTACCCATGAACGCTTTAACCACCAGCTTATCCCACATGAGTTGCCCACATAAAGTGACGAGTAACATCACGCGCTCGCTCACTCATTCACTCATTCACTAGCTCACTCATTCACTCACTCCTTAGAAACAACTGATAAAAGCCCGATGTAATGGTCAAGTATCCACACGTCTGCTCCTGTCCAGTCCCTCCTGTACTGTCGTCTGCCCATGTTTGGCCGTTACATTGTTGTCGTCTGCCCCTTTGCTGTTATCGCCCTGTGGTCTTCACCGAAACTATGTGTACTGTTCTCAGTTAACACTATATATAGCACTGAGTCAACAGTTGTCCCATTTAGTATTACCATGTAAGAGAGTGACTCAAATCTCATCTCTCATTACAGTTTATCACATGCCACTGACAACAAGCGAGTATTGTTGTGACTAGTTGTTAGTCGCTGTGATTGTTCGGGGGCTTAAAGAACTGAAGTATCGGCTGACACCCATGTTGCTTTAGAAGGGTCATCTGGCTTTCTATCAGTCGCTGTTAATGGTCATATTTCTCTAACCATTTACGTCCGACAGTGCTAATCGTTGCATGTTGCTAAAACATAACTATGAACCGTCACGTATTTGTGCAAGTGTCGTCTGCCTCCGTGAACAGATTCTTCTCTTTCCTTACACATTGTGTTTTGTTTTAAACATATTTTATTCATGAGAAGGATTCGGTACAAGTATACAACTTAGACGACCCTCTCCGTAGTATTTACATTATGTTATTTACATTTATTATACAAGATGGACAGACAAGAACACAAAGATGGGAAACATTGGAACAGTTGCAATAGTATTTTTGATTGACAAATATATGTTTGAAAAATTATTTAATTGTTTTGATTTAGGCGAACAGTCAGATCTGTATGCCATGTAATAGTAACTCATTGTTTATATTCATATTGGTAACACTGCGTAAATTAGTCATCATGTCAGTTCTCTGTACAGTATACAATTGACACTCAAATAGGTAATGATAAGAATTTTCACCAACATTTCCACAAGAACAACACGGGTTATCTTTTATAGTTACCAACACGGAATAGATCATAATGCAATAGACTACACCTGTAACGTAGTTTTGTATGGATGATAATAGCGTTTCTCGGTCCAAAATCAAGTATTGAGGAGCATTTCTATGTTTTATAACAATACTAGATTTAAAAGAAAGAAAACACTGTGTGCCTCTTTGAACAGTCTATAATTTTGACAACTCTTTAAAGAAATGTTTCGTTTTGTCTGTCACTGTATAGTGATGTCGAATCCATTATAGATCCATCATTGTGGGGTCAAATGTGGAATAAAGTATGTCACAGAGCACACATCATCAACATTGTCTATTATAGTCTGTTTGCAGTGAAAACGTACCGATGAATTTCGCTTTAAACAAAAATGTAAATAAAGTTAAATTAATATTGCGAATCCTCATCATTTTATCTTGCCAATTGAACATTTAAATCTCAGAATTTTAATCACTTTAGGATAAAAGTTGTTTAACAAACGATCATAGTTTCAAATCGTTATTATTGGTTTGTATTACAAGGGATTATGAACATTAAATGAAACACCGAGAACAAATTGGGTTGGTCTAAGTAAACGTTCATCACGTACCGCACGTGCATTTGTTTCACTGCTCCAACTACTGCGCTTACCCCATTATAATACAAACCAATAATAGCGATTTGAAACTATGATCGTTTGTTAAACAGACTATAAATGACAATGCATTTTGCTGCTTGAATGAAATTATTTGCAAGAATTAAAATAGACACCCGTGAAGTGTTGTTAAGTAAACGAAAATCACCATTTCAATGTAATATGCATTAGACCAATGTCGGATTTCCAAGTATCAACTGTTCTAAATTATTACCACATGTAACAAGGGTTGTTTACAAACTTCAGCACGTGAGACTTAAATGTGTCCTTGTAAATCTATTTCCACGACTTGACTCATATCACGTCTCAAAGTCCACGCGCTCGGAGAAGTAAATAAGTATTTCATCTGCGGAGGTGACGCTATGACCCAAAGGTTTTGAAAAATATGAAAACATCTTGAAGGTTCAGTTATCAAGTTTACTTGCATTATCAATTCGTCTCTGTTGTCATTAACATTAAGTGTTTTAATGATTGTTTTATTGACACATCACCTGGTCATTACCAGTAGTAAAAATGTGCGTTTGAACACAGTTAACAACACATATTAGTATATGACTGACTGACTGAGTTTGGTTTTACGCCGCTTTTAGCAATATTCCAGCAACATCACGGCGGGGGACACCAGAAATGGGCTTCACACATTGTACCCATGTGGGGATTCGAACCCGGGTCTTCGGCGTGACGAGCCAACGCTTTGACCACTAGGCTACCCCACCGCCCCTATTAGTATATGAAGGAACAGAGCTTAAGTTCAACACAGTCGTCACTATGAGTGAACCTTTCATCATCCGTTTGATGCGGTGGCAATGATATGGATAATTTCATTGAGTCAACTATATAATAATCGGTACATGCGTATTCACACAGAACATTCAGTATCAAACGTGAAATAAGTGACAATGGGTGTCAGTGGATAAACATATGCACGTCAGAGCCAGACAAAACCAGTGGAAAGAGTGGAAATTTAATAAATGGAAAGCTAGAAGGGAAGCATGTCGTCTCCTAGCGTTTTGTGACGGGGGAAATAGTTGCACACTCTTTATAAAGGGGGATGCACACTTCATTTTCACGAGTTTCTATGGTCATTTAATAAACTTCCAGGACAAAAGGGGGGTGCACACCCGTGCACTCCCCTCTCTGGACCCGCCTCTGTTACGTTGATCCACTGACGTTCAATGTAATTATAATCATGCCATGTAACTTCTGTTAAGTGCTGACGCCACATTTCATGGAATTCGCCAGCTGAAGGGTTGCCTGGTAAGACTGGGTATATACAAAAGGATTAGTATAGATACGTTGGTACTACTCCTCTTTGTGATTATATCCAACGTCTAAATGTCTATACAGAGAAATACAACAAAGTCTCCACCAACGCGCCTGTCATCGTTTTGTATTCAGCCTTGTATACACGAGCCACTTGCCATCAGCAAAGTCTCCAATTGTGCAACTTGCCATATGTTACCGACTGGAAATGCAATCGGCGCGGCATAAAATGTAAGTCACGAGACTACGCGAGACCCTATGTTTCTGTAATACATCCGGCAGCCTGGTTCCCTGGGTCTGTTGCGCCTGCGCTAACGCTCCGAAAGTGTTACGTGGGACTGGGCTTGGTAAATCGGAGGTAAATCATCTCCATACATGTTTGTGTATCCAGGAGAGCAAGGGCATGTTACAGGCAATACGACCGAGGCTTGGCAAGCCGCAGTTGCAGTGTTATCAGAACGTCCAAAGACGACAATGGTTATGATCACATTTCTCATTGCTATTCAAAGGTTGATAGGCTGGTATTTGGGACTATTGATTTGTCACTGCTGATCTGTTAAGGATCACCGTACTTCGTGACATCGAAATATGTGAATAAAAATACCCAATCGTTTGGGGTGGTTGTTGTTTAATGCCACCCAGCAGTATTCCAGCTATACGGCGGCGGTCTGTAAATGGTCAAGTCTGGAACAGACAATCCAGTGATCAACAGCATGAGCATCGATCTACGATAATGGGATATGATGACATGTGTCAACCAAGTCAGCAGCTTGATCACCCGATCCCGTTAGTCGCCTCTTACGACAAGCATGAGTTATTATTATCAATTCTAAAACGGATCTTCACGGGTAGTGTGATGCCAATACATCTGGAATACATAGCAACATCGTAGTTTCAACATTTAATGTCTCATTTATACAGATATTCTACAAGTATATGATTGTCGAGGTAGTTGTACTAGGCCGCGTGGACAGCAGCTGTTGTGATTCAGGACAGGACCAGCTTCTCCAGCTGCAGCAGGGGCGCCTCCACCAGGATGGCCACCATAAAGGATAGGATGAACGACATGCACACGTAGCCGAAAAAGCGGTACACCTGGAATACAGAGCGACGTTGTCATTTCATAGTCATGGTTTCAAAGATCGTGATATGTTTCATCGTTACAGGATTGGGGACATGGAAGGATGCTTTTACTAAGTCATTTATGGTTTTTCTAAATCATTATTTCGCGTTTACATCGTAAACGTAGGTACACCCCCATCCAACTGACACAATTTTCTAACTCTGGGTACCATTGTGACGACAAGGAAATATAACTACACCGTTTGTTTGATTAGTCGGTTTAATACCTTGAATTATATTCGGATCTTTCAAGCAGAAATTTACATGGGTTTTTCTGTGGCTTTTTATAATATACAAACATAAATCGCACACTTACAATGTATCCAGATGAATACAAGAAGAGAGACTGCATGGTACCAACGTCTGTCTGGATTAGGATAAGATGGACGAGGTAGGCCCCGTATGTGAGACGAGAGAGAGGCTGCCACCAGTCCCAGGACAACATCCAGTCCACGATGCCTGGGGCATGAAAAGGATTGCGGTGACAGAATGTGACACAAATGGGTTGTACACTATGCTACAATCATCGACAATCAAGCAAATATGCGTTGATTTACAAACCAGTTTGGAATGTGAAATCATTTATTCATTTTCAATAGATAACATTTTTTCTACAAATCCTATAAAGGATCCTATAAATCATATATATTTACTTCAATATTTAACAGAACGTAAATCAAACTAGTAAAATCAGTCATGTGGTTGTCAAACGTCAATTTTCTCTTCATGTCGAGCAGTATTCCTGCGCCAGCAACCTTTGGTTGCCACATTGTTACATTTCATAGTTTTTGAGGTTGAATCTTGAGAATGATCTTTCCTAGAAGATTTGAAATAGGTTCATATGGCTCTTGCTCGAAACGTGCAAAATCTCTATATAACTTTCAAAACGTTCCATGTCAGATACGTGGTGGACAAATGTGAAGCAGAAGAGACAAAATTGATGTTCGGCACAAATCCCTATTTGGACCTGTACAATATGTTCGTTGTATTTTGTTTTCAGATATAACATCGACTTTCATTTGCCAGAATCGTTCAACAGACTCCGCTTTAAGCAGATATTTCTTACGATTAAGGAGTGAGTGAGTGCATTTTTGTTTTATGCCGCTTTTAGCAATATTCCAGCAATATCACCACGAGGGGACACCAGAAATGGGCTTCATACATTGTACCCATGTGGGGAATCGAAACACGGATTAAGGAAGGGCTTTACGCCTTTGTATGCAGCAAGGACGACAACTGCTGACTGTATCTACACACACCTCCTTTGCCTTTGCAACACATGAAGATGACCCACGCCAAGACCAGCCCCCAAACGGGTCTATATATTGTCTCATGAGCCGTCCTGGCATCATTCGCCCAGCCGGGTCTCCCCTCACCAAAGTTATCATAGGTCGCCAGTGTACAGGCTCCAGCCGCCATTAGAGCCAGGAGCCAGCCCGCTCCTTGCAGGAACTGGAAGAGGAAGAATACCAGTCGTTTTGTGACCTATGCTGACGTACAACGGTGTGTATCATGAATGTGTCTTCATATTTCACTTCTTTGAGTGGCATTTAGAAGTTGACATTTCTATGGATATACAGCTTCTGTATTATTAATGTAAGCGATGTCTCGCTGTAGCTCTTATAACTTGCTTGCTTGATAACGGTTTTAGGAACTGCAGCGAAACGTCGCTTACATTATGATAAAGAAGCTGTATATCCATAGAACTGGATATCTATAGAACATTCCCCGTCGTTCTTCATATTTACTTAACCCAAAAAATAGAGACTTATCAGGTGTTGAACGATGGCGAGGTACGATTGGTTGTTCATCGTCCCGCATTCAAACTTATTGCACTTTATAACTACGTACACGTTTTATAGACAAATTTCCTATATAAAATCTTAGGCCAAATACATCAATTTGGGGAACAATTTTCAAAAAACTGTCCAGAACACAGACATCCCAAAACCCAAAATATCAAACTGTCCTAACTGGAGACATCTTGAACTTTATCTTCTTCTCCTGAAGGATATAGCCTGATGCCATCCCAATGGCGAATGGTCCTACCCTGCACCAAGGTTTCAGATACACCTTGTCGTAGTACTCCTGGCCGTTGCTGAAACACAGCAGTAAGACAAGATTGTAGGGGGAACATGATGGTCTAGTAAGCTTCACTAGAATTAGGTACACTAAGATGCTAATATACTGATTGGGTTGTAATAAAGCGGACTGCCGTATGGTGAAGTGACTTGTGATGTAATAATAAAATCAGCTGGTCAGATCCATGAAAGTGCTACACACTGGAATAGATCGCCTTCGATGGAGTAGGTAATGTAGGCTGTGCTGACGATGCTGGTGATGAGGAAGCCAAATATCACACATAACCCATCAATCTTGAGGATCTTGCGAGCTGTGGGACGCTTCAGACTGAAACTGAAAAGACGCAGAAGTATGAGTGAATGGGTATAATTTTACGTCGGCTAGAGTCATGCAATATTACAGCCATATTTGGTTCATAGGACTGTGTATTCCTTTGCACTGGCGACTTACAATTTTTCCGTAATAGCTTTCCATGAAGAACAGCTCTATCCCTTTGTCCAGTTTCTTCAGCAACATCTACAACACATTCCGGACATGGTTGCCACAAGACACCTACCTCAGAGCCAACGGGATCAGTGCCAGTGGAGCTACCAGGTAGAACTGCATGTCGTTGGCCAGGAACCACCCCCAGACTAAACACTGAAGGGAAGGAGCATGTGAGTTAATTATTGTACTCTGACGCTGCCGCCAGGAACAGTCAATGTAACTCACGATAGTTTAGGAAAGCATGTGGTCACTAGTACTGCGACAGGATATGGCCATGAGCCCCTTGTACAACAAATAAACTGATAGCCTCTGGCTTTATGTATGTATGTGTGTATGTGTGTGTGTGTGTGTGTGTGTGTGTGTGTGTGTGTGTGTGTGTGTGTGTGTGTGTGTGTGTGTATGTATGTATAATATATATATATATATATATATATATATATAATATGTTTTACCCTACCGAATCATATGCTCTTCTTTCTTTAAAACATTATATTACAAGTGTTTAAAATTTGTATCCATCGAACCCATGATTTTGAGGGTGAAAGTGTAATCCAATTAATATAAAACAGACCAAAGTACCTTTTTTGTATGAGCTGTGTGTTTCCTTTAACGACAAATGTATTAAGTGTTTGCTCGCCTTGAAGACAAAGGTAAGTACCTGGCTGTCTGTTTTTGAGTTCTAATGTAACTGTCTGTTTTAAAGAAGACAGAAGTTATTACCTGGTTTTCCTCCCTGTAGACATTATTGATGTAGAGAAGATTTGCCCACCAGTTGTCTTTACAATACTGGATGTCAGCAGGTCCTGCCCACGTCGGGCCATCAGTCAGGTAACGCACCAGGAATGTGTTGATGAAGATCATATATGCGTACACGGGAGTCAGTCTGACAACAATCACTACATCTACCAGACTATGGTACAACCAAGTGAAACATGTCCCCAATACCAGTGATACTTTAACCTAGAGGGAAACGTGTCACCACATCACTAGAACAGCCCCATATGGAATCGCGAGTCTATAGCTTCAATAAGTAAATCGGGAAGATTAAGTCACACAATACTGTAGTGCTGATAATGCGAAAGTCTGTTTTACAAAGAGAGCAACAGCTGAGAGTTGACTGACCTCCAGAAGCGGTGGACATAGAACAGGATCATGTGCTTCACCTTCAGACCTCCAGCCTTCTCTGTCTCCTTTAGGAACAGGTACGTCACCAGTAGGCCACTGCGAACCATTATAAAATATTTTAGGTAAAAGGAATATAATAAGAGAAGGGCAGTATTTCGGTTATGTCAAGGCGCGTCAGCTTCATGTGGGAGGACTCGTATATGTCTTAGAATTAATCACTTTGACCCAAGCATTGGTATGGTATTGCCAACCTGGGAATATACCAGAATGAATCTAAGATTCCTCGATCCTCGTTTTCTGATTTGCCCAAAGGCGGCAACTCTGCAAAGTGAATTCAATGTTCTTGGGTGAGCGGTTTGTCAGTTTGATGCGAAAGGAAAGCCCGAAGTGATGCAAGTTTCCCAAGACGGCAAAACGTGCTGTTAAAACGTGTTACTTTATGCAAACTCATTTTTGGGGCCCCATTGTCGCAAATTTTAACATTTTAAGCATTTTATATTGGCCAAAAGCAACAAAGTGACAAATGCTGACAAATGTAGGAATCTCGCATTGTCGTCCATTAGTTCAAAAAGAAACCCAAAATATATTTTACTTGTTTGAAAAGGCGACAACACAACAATGCCCCTTCTGCGATTCTACATGAAACACAAAAAACTGTTAAACAAATTCATTTGTATGAAGATATGAATATGAGCACAACATTCCTCAGATCTTACCTGAGCACGAAGAATGAATCGACTGACAGAGTTCCGTTCATGATAATTTGGAAACTGATGTGCTGCGTTAGTGTGCCAAATATCGATGGGTTCTCTGCAAGCATATACAACACAACATCGTCTGCCATTAAGTTTTACTATGGCTTTTCTATTTAAACACCTAATTTGCTATGTATCTGATGAACAGACTATGTCATAATGTAAATAGTTGAATCTGCAGCGCTCGTGTATTCCTGTTGGAAAAGTATTATGTAAACATTTCTTTTATAAAATATCATTTGCTATGACGTTCATTTTCTGTTTAACAATTAGCATTGTAATTTCTGTTGATAAATGTAATGTAAATGTTTTTCTTGCTTGAAGTGTCAATTTGACATATCTCATGTTCTATTTTCATTTTATGGATAGCCTGGATAAATATATAGCGTGTGTAATGAAGCTCATAGCTCATATTGTTCGTTACAGAAACATTATTAACAAATTCTACGTCCAGTCTGTCTACAGATATTTAGAAACATATAAATATACTGAAAGCCATTAAAAATGCAATTTGACATTCATACTTTCTTTACTCACACTAATTTCAACATATATAAACCTAACTGGCAGATATGTTTTAAGTGAACATCTGTGAATAATTTCATCTGAAAATGTCCAGTCAACAACAACATCAGTGACGCAACAACGACATCACACAGAGGAGGGGTCACTTGCAGTCAATATCGTGTGTGTCCACCGTGCGCTGCAAGACATGCTCGCAGTCTTTGGGGCATTGAAAGACACACATTTCTCAGGAACAGCTGTTGGATGGTCTGCAGCCTCTGATGGTCTGTGGTCTGATCATGACACCACCCCCTCCAAAACGATCATGTTCAAGGACACAGTTTGGCGCAAGTCTTTCTCCTTTACGTCGATAAATCTGTTGACGTCCATCTGCAAAGGATAAGTTAAACCTGGATTCATCTGAAAAAATGACATCTGGCCATGTCCTGTTGCCAAGATTGGCCCCATTTGCTGCCCATCGCTGTCTGGCAAGTCTGTGGCGATGCAATAAGGTGGACCACGGTACGGGTGACGACACCGGCGTCCTTGCACCTTTTGCGCGCTGAAATGACGTTGACTTGTCCCAATTGTCCTCCTTGCCTAATCATCAGCTGTTTGGAACCGATTTCGCAAGTGTGAGACTCAGATATTGCGGTTTTGTCGAGCTGTTATCACAGGTGGTGCACCAGGTCGCGGACGATCAGCAACACTTCCGGTAGCCCGAAAACGTTGTCTGAGTCGACTTACAGTGGATGGATGCACATTAAAGTGCCTGGCAATCATCACATCTGAAGCACCTTGGCTGACCATACCGATAACCTGATTCCTTTCGTCTTGTGTCAAGTGTGGCATTTTCTCAAAGTGATTGAGTTCCACAATTCCTTGTGCTTTTACAGGGCCTGGGTGCAGGTAATGCATGTGCACAACGTGTTTCATGAATGTGGTTGTGTTTACGAGAAATGTCAAAGGTTCAGTTTTAAGTATCAAAGTTCATGTGAGAGGAATGCTCCGGGACTCGAACTCGAAATGGGCCAGAATAACAGCCTTTTATCCCCACATCCTCTGCATCGCAGGAAAAAATCTTCAATAGAACTTTTGTAAGTTTCAGGACAACAAATACCAATTTCGTTTTTAATGGCTTTCAGTATATATACCATCAGCAATGTATGACTATTGTAATTTTCAAACTCCGTGGAGATTCTAGATTGTAGTACATCTAAAGGTATACTTGTGCTCACGCTTTGACCTACCTGCGTTAGGCATGAGAATGAGAAACGAGTGACCCAGAATCACCCAGCCCATGCTTAGGACCCGGATGCCGTTAAGACAGGTGAGAGATCCAGGTGAACGTTTCACGCTGAGGATCTTCTCCCCATTGCTGACGGCTGAGAAACACAGCAGGATCCGCTGCCATACTGAAAAGAATGAATCTTTGAGAAGCGCCATGATCTGACATGTTCATGACATCTTTTTAGTGACATGTTCATTCCTTGAAACAAAACCAGCAGTATGAGAAGAGTAACCTCCGATTCACTTATATCACAGGGCGTACGTCAAGTCTGTGATGAAAGCCAAACGTGCAGAATACACCACTAGTGAAATCCTCGAAGTTAATTACGTCAATGTTTAACCGTCCTATATTGCATACATCTGAACAACAATAGTAATGCATTAATTTTGATATGTGAGCTCTGATTACTAATTCTGACTCTAGAAAGGTCTTCAAAGTGTAAGTCATTAAAGTAGCTGTAAAACCTTTGTAAGGTTAGATTTAGTAATCGCTGGTGTCAGCAAATTATTGAACGACATCAAAATGTCAATTAGAGTCGTGACTGCTGTTTCCACTTTCATGACGCATTGATTTTTTTTATTGCAAACCTGATACTCTGTGTTTTGTTGTAGTTTAATGATTATTCGCGAATTTTGTCGATCATTTACTGTCCAGTTCTGCGCGAAACGGGTTCCTGAGTTCAAATTATCTAACATATTCCTGAGTTCAAATTATCTAACATAAACAGTTCATGACCTACACCTAGGCGTATATTTCTTGTCACGTTCTTTGTCCTCTGTTCGGAGCTGATGTCCACCATTAGGATACACCAAGTGTCCACCATTTGTCCCCTGGACTTGTGGACCTGCAGGGTTGTCTATTCCAACAGTCTCCACCCTGGGTCGTGACTCGTGGATCAGCTTGTGTTCATCTACTTTCCATTTACCAACTGGTGTCTCTGGGAGCCCCAGGTCCTGAAGCTGTGTGTTGATCTTAGAGCGCTGAACTGTATCAAGCCGGGGAGACTGGAGCCTTATCACCACGACCTTTGGTAGCCCGGATGTTCAAGTCTAGAGCCGACCCCAAAAGGACCAGACAGCCCAAGATGGCCGTCAAGATACTGTCAATGAATTTAAAAAATGACATTTTGAAGTTTGACATTTTTTAGTAATGTTTCTCATTAATCCCTTTAAGATATCATGCAACAGTTTAAGGTGGATACCGCACTAGAAGCCTACTAGTCCTTGTTTTAATAGCCCGGTTTAACGTAGGCAGATACAGGCACAGAGCGGAATCCGTAGTGAAGGAAGTTCGGAGTAGACTTACTTTCAAGAGAAATTAACGTAATACATACGATAAAATACGTCCATTGTAGTCCGGTTTAAACAGGTTTTACTCTGCTGCACTTACATAGCTCCTACCGCAGCACTGTCATCGCTGACGAAGCCAGGCTTAATCTCAGCGTGGCAGACCACACTCTTTACTGTCATATTGACCTGGGAAAACCCTAGAACATCAAAAGGTTCACAAGATAATGGGATTGACGGTATGCAGGGCAACATACGTTCATATTTAAAACTAACAGAAAATCGGAGACATTGAACGTTCCAAAAATTTTAGGACAAAAGAGCTATAGAAAGTTTTCAAGGTAGATCATCCTAATACTTTATTTCTGACTGAACACATAACACCCTTTATTATATTTAAAAACAACATTGTCCAAATGGAGTTTAAAGAGGACCTGCTGAGATAAGGCAAATTATGAGTTTGAGGACATGCTAAGAGGCAAATATCCCAAACTGATACATAAACATGTTCTTCTTATGAACACAGTATCGCTTATAATCTAATTAATCCTCAAATATATTAATGAATTCTCCCCATAGATTGGCGAAAACGTTGAAGCTATGTCTCTGTTTGCTAGTCAGCTGGGACAGTGTATGTGGCATTCAACGGGTGTCACCATGGCGTTACCCTGGGACAATGAATCCGTTCTTTTGTTCAAGTTGCGATTTCCAAACAAGATGACCCCTGACTGCATTCTCACAACAAACACAATGACTTTAACCAGTCACCACACTCAGCTGCGCACAGTCCACTGATGACAATATTCCCAAGTACCCACATTTTGTAGACCAGTCTTCATACTGCTGCTGCCACACGTGTCAGGGACGCACAGATGCCACTTGATCATCATGTTCTTCAACATACCAGAAAACGCCCCATCCTGTGCAGAAATGGTAACAATAGCGTTAGGTAGTAGACTGTTCAAGGTTTCAGATAGACTAACAACTAGTCTCTGAAATGAACATATTTTACTGAAAAAAAATTCATAGTAAAAAAATATATAATGAAAAGGAGCCCTGAGACTTTCAGATAAGCTGAGGAAATCTTGTGTGGGCTTTCTTGGATATATTTGCTTCAGGGTCTGTATGACAGACCAGGTTTCAGAAGGTGATCCGGAAAAAGAATACAAGTTCAAATTTAGTGATTATTCAAATGTTTCTGTTTCATAGGTTTCCCTTCTGGTGATTGATTACTGTCATGAATTATTTTCAGTGTTGTTTTTTTTCATATAATTTTCAACTCCGCTTTGCTTTTTACACCCAGATTATATCAAGACTGATTTCACTCTGGTGTGAGCGGTGTATTTGTTTAAGGACCTGTAAAACCAGGGGTCGTTGGGATTGCCTAGTGGTCAAAGCGTATGATTGTCACGCCGAAAATACACCCGTGCATTAATTAAGCACCACCCTATTTTGAAAATAAGATGTCATGCTACAGAAAAGTTAGGGTATAGCAATCAATTTAATCAGCCTGTAGTTAAAGAAGTTTATCCACTGACAGTTTTACAAATACCATAACCTTTTCTATTCTTTATGAAAGAATATGTTGATGAAAATGTGACGAGACTGAAATTTTACCCAAAATAACTATTCCTCTCCTGCTCAAACTACATAATTAAATTAAGTTTTGACTAAAAATAACTATTCTGTTATATACCAAGATGACATTTACACACCAAGTAAGCTTTAATTATGCATAATCAGGAGGAACCCGAATGTCAAAGATTCAGACCTTTTTCCAACAATTCAGACTGCTAATTGAAAAAACTGAAAAAGGCCACATTAATAAGATTTTGGATTTTTTTATGATTTTGAGATCATTGTAATGAATAAACACTTCTCCTTGCCGGATACTGATAATTACAGCTGAAATCTGTTTGTTTTGTTTGTAAAGCAACTTTTACTGCATTAAAAAAAATTCTTTTCTTAGTCTGACTGTAACTTTTCCTAAATCTTAGTTTACAAACTTTCATCCATTCTCAATAAATAACGAATTCATACGCCACACAATTATCAATAATTACTTTCACTTTTCAAAATAAGGCAGCTTACCTACCACCTACACCACCACCTACTTAAATATAGGCAATTATCCTGATTAAAATACATGGTAATTTCAATTATGTTTTCGTTTTTGAAATGTTAAATGCTTGCTCTATCAAATTGTAATGGATATTTTTTGGAAAGAGTTTAGAATTTAATTTCAAACAAAATTAATAGGTAAACATACAGGGTGGTGCTTATTTTATGCACAGATGTATGTATATAATATGTGAAGCCAATTAACGTGTCTCCCATTGCTAAAACCGACGCAAAACTGTATCATTCTCTGACTCAAATTGCATTCACAAAACACTCGTGAAGACCCGGGCTAGAATTGGTTTTCACAACCCATGCTTTCGTAAGAGGCGACTAACGGTGGTCAGACATGTCATCGTATCCCAGTTGCCTGGTCCAGACTCGATTACTTACAGACCGACGCCATATGGCTGGAATAATTGCTGACTGCGGCGTTGAACACTAATAAAATCAAAACACACACACACTCAAGAATACATACCGCTCCCGCCGTCATGGCCAGCAGCTGTGGAGGAGGACTGATACTGACAACGCAGGTGTCCCCCTTCACTTCTCTCCCTGTCACCGGGTCCACCTTACTGGGTCCGTTAAGACATTCGTCAAAGTTGCCGAAAAAGGTCGTTGCCCCTTCCATGATTGCGGTGCCAGGTTTTCCGGACGCATCGAACACTGAAAAGCATAAAGCACAAGTGTAAAGATTCTGAATGTTTGTTTGATGTATAACGTCGACGTCAGCAAATTTTATAGTTACATGAAGGCGATCTGTAAATATGTTGAGTTAGGACCAGACGATTCCGTGACTGACATCCTGGTATCGCCCTACGCAGTAGGGATACGATACCAAGTCACTGAATCCAGGCCAGCCGAACTCGTTAGAAGCACGGGTTGCTGAAGATCAATTCTAACCCGGATCTCCACGGAATATATTCCGAATGATGGCAACACAAACTGAGCGATAGGGAAGCAATAATGTATGAATATGTCATGTTATTCATATATGTTCAAGTATTACAACTAATCCTGTACTCACTGTTTAGAGCCCACGGCTTCCCCTGTACGAGATCGATAAGGAAAGTATCCATATCTTCAGAACACATTCGTTCGTCCACTGTCAGTCCGCTTGTGTTTGACTGTAAAATCCCCTTCAAGATGGACGGAAGCTGAGGACCCAGGCTCCTAAAGAGACGTGTAAGAGACTCAAGGTTGACAGACCCTCCCCCCAGTAGCAGGGGCAAAAGGGAGTTCTTCATTCCTCCTGGAATCTTGTTCTGCATGGCCATGAATGAAACCGGAAGTGATGAAGTCGTAGGGGATGTTGTGTTGGTGGAGAGAGTGGAGTTGGCGGCGGAGAGGAACATATTGACCAGCATGGAGAGGAAAGGAACAGCTGTGCTGTTGGAGGTGATATTACCTAAATGGGAGCTGTGTAAATCGCCTGCCGTCGTCTCTACGTTGCTTGTAGAAACAGAGGTTCCGGTTGTAATGACTGACGTGGTATCAGATGCAGATTCTGGAGAGGCAGGTTGGATTGTTGAGGTAGTATTCGATAAACTAGAGGTTGGCTCTGGCGCATTTTCTGAAAAATTACTTCACCTGGTCCAGAGATTCCTCGTTTGAAGGAAGCAGTTGGTTTTGCACTAGAATAATCTCCGGCTGTGCTCTTTGTGGAACCAGTTTCAGAACAATGGAAGGCACAAAGGAACACTAACACCGTGATGTATTTCATAACGTCGTTCTTGCAGGTCCCAAATTCCAAGCTGAAGATTACAATACCATCAAGCAGTGCTACGCGTTCGTTTCGCTATGGATCTGTATAGTTGCAGAGCAAACACCATTACTTGCTGTATAGACGGCCTCTGTAGGCGTATTATGTCGCCTGGAGCAGTCAACTATGTGTAGTGGTCAACCCCTCTATGTACCTGAAAGGTATCACCTGATGAAAAACGTAGTGACCTAGTCACGCACAGCGTTCCTCTTGTTCCAGGTTCTGATGGAAGGTTCCCGGACACAGTCGTTCAGTATGTCGGAGGGGGCGACGTGAGTGTATGTAGGTAATGTATCAATAATTGCTCATAATATCAACGTGTATGTCGCCAATGGAATTATCTCGGACTGAAGACGAAGAATAATAAAACTCGTATGTCTTGACTCATCTTATTCTTCGTCTTTTCAACTCTTATGTCGGTTGTAAAATATACATAGTGAAGCCAAATACTAGAGATGAATTTTCGATAGGTCCTTCAAACTTGGTTTCCCTTTTATCATCTTGCATGCCCCTTGACGGACGATGCGACGGGAGTTCAAGAACAATCTAGTTACTGATTCATACAGCCGTGTCACTTCATTGTATAATTAGAATCATGAACGTTATCTCATGTTACAAAGAGCTGAGGGCAGGTAAGTCTTCCATTCGTCAAGCTAGCTTCCGGTTCAAGGAAATGGATACAAAATAGGAAGCCTTTGTTTTAGTGTCGCGAATGTATTGATGAAATAAAGTTAAAGACGCCTCAGATCTTACCAACAACACAGATCCGAGTGTGACAAACAGTGATGTTCCTGAGAATTCGTTAATGACTAAGCTGTTACTGGCTTTTCGCAATGTTCCAGATATAATAAGGCGCCGGACACAAACAGTGGACTTTGCGCAATGTGCCAGTGTTGGAAATAGCACTTTGGCACCTGGGGCGAATGAATTTCAAGACTACCCCATCAAAGTATGGAGGTATAGAGTGAATTATTTACTTATTTCCCAGTATAGTGCCGCGGTGACACTTCCACCCGACTTCTGGAGTTCTAAAGAGACTTGTTAAGACATTGTGTCATGATGCTTTATTTGTCCTATCTAGGAGCGGTGGGGTAGCCGAGTGGTTAAAGCGTTAGCTCGTCACGCCGACGACCCGGGCTCAATTTCCCTCATGGGTACGATGTGTGAAGCCCATTTCAGGTGTCCCCCGCCGTGATATTGCTGGAATATTGCTAAAGGCGGTGTAAAACTCACTCACTCCTAAGATCTAAGAAAGCAACAGTTGATCAAGGTATGATACCATTCTACGACACAGATAGTG